GGGCTTTATGCATGCTGGGCAAACATTCTACCACTAGGCCATATTTCCAGCCCAATATAATAATCTTTATATTTACTTCAACTAGGATGAAATGAGAGCCGAATGTGCTTAAACTCATGAAAAACATTGATGAAGAATGTTTTCTTGGGGACAGAAATTCTCAGTGAATACTATAGGGGCAAGAAAAACCATCTTGACACAGACAGAGCACCTTAAGTTCTGCAATATCAAGGACTAAGAAAAACTAAGGGAAAGAGAGCTCACCGTACCCTGACATGACTGGAAAAACTATGCTCTCTTCTTTAATAGAGAAATAAAGAGAATGATTAGCACAGTTCAATTTGAGGATTGCTTAGGAAGTAGAGCATAGCAAGGAGCTAGTACATAATAAAAGTAATGGCGGCTGTTTAGTCAATCCTGAAAAATCGAAACATTTTATTCACATAGCCATTGAAATGTCTAAATCTCAATCTCCTTGACCTTTGGGTCTGAAGGAAAACTCCATTTAAATGCGAATTGGGTGGGTCATATACTGACGTCATTAGAGACTAACCACTTATCCTTGGTGAGTGTAGACTCTAAGCGAGGGAATGTGTGGGATGTTAGTGGTCCATGTGCAGAGATGAATCAGGAAGACATTTTCAGTATATGGGAGGAAATTAAAGTGGTGTATGAGATAATGAAGTTGTGGATAAGAAGAATTCTAGAGAGTAGTTTGGAATAAGATGGAATAGGAGGCACGGGAAAGGGATCCAGCTTGGTCTTTCTGGGGTAAAATAGCATTGTAGCATTTGTTCATCATCTAGATCAAGAGGAATGGGAGCTCTTTTTTTAAAAAAATATTATTATTGTTATAAAGATGATGTACAAAGAGGTTACAGTTACAGAAGTCAGATGAAGAGTACATTTCTTTTTGGATAATGTCACCCCTCCCCTTACTCTTTCTCAGTTTTTCCCTCCCATCCCTGGAATGGGAGTTAATTTTTGAGGACAAGGCCGGGGTGGATAGGTGTTTGGAATATGATAAAGAATTGGTTACATTATGGCTTGTACAGTGCCAGACCAAAATCCAGTTGTACAAATGGTCTTAAAGAAATGAGTATTAAACCAGGGCGCCGGTGGCTCATGCTTGTAATCCTAGCTACTCAGGAGGCTGAGATCTGAGGATCATGGTTCAAACCAGCCCGGGCAGGAAACTCTGAGACTCTTATCTCCAATAAACCTAGAAAACTGGAAGTGGTGCTGTGGCTCAAGCGGTAAAGCACTAGCCTTGAGCTGAAGAGTGCAGGGACAGGGCCCTGGCCCACAGTTCAAAGCCCCATGACTGACATAAAAATTTTTTTTTTAAATGTTGAGAAAAAAATTTCAGAGCATTATCAAAATATTCCTATTCTCACCAGTTAGCTATGACTTATGCCTGAAATCCTAGCTACTCACAAATCTACAATCTGATGATTACAGTCTGAAACCAGATCAGGCAGACATATCCAAGGAACTCTTATCTCCAGTTAACCATCAAAAAGCAAGTTAGAGGTGTTGCTCAAATGGTAGCATGCCAATCTTGAGCTGAGAATGTTAAAAGACTTCAAGACCTTGAGATCAAGCTCTAGTAATGGTACAGAAAAACAAAAAAAAGTAAAGGTCACCTTCTCTCAAAGTTAAGATCGCTTAAATCAAACAATAGAAAGATTGTAAAAACAAACTTATAATTCAGCATTTCTGTATCCATGAGGTTCATGTGTGTGTGCAGAGGAGTTTGTTTTACTTACAAGTCTTTTTGTAAGCCTTGAACAGTGTCTAAATTGAACTGAGAAGCTCAGAATCACCAACATAAACAAAATTCATGTGTTGTAACTTCAGAAGGAAATACTCTTAATTATTACACTCTTTCTTCATTATATTCTCTGTTTTTACTACACATACTAGGTCAAGGTAGTCTTGGATTTAATTATCTTGGGCTCCAAGCTTGCCATATCCTAAGGAATTAGATTTTTTTTGCCATGTTTAACAATCATCATATTACATTATAACCCAGTCTGAATATTTATGATTACACGTCTTTGTTAAAAGTCTTTGTTGACTAAAAAAAAAAAAAAGTCTTCTCTGTGTAAATTTGCTTACTTACAATTGTAGCATCCACAGATTTCTGAATGCTGTGGCATTCAGAAAGCATAGAACTAGGGATTTTCCTATAGAATTAAGAATATGTTTCTAGCTATACGAAGAAATCTCAAGAGCAATAATTAAGGGGTTTTGTACATTCTAAAAGTTTACAGAATGCTTCTATGTACACAACTCAGTTTCCTTAAAGTATCCCAGTAGTATCTTGGTTCACAGTTTAAAAAATATGAAATTTAGATTTTAATCACTTACGTCAGGTCTCACAAGACTGTATATACATACACTATACACCCACATACTCTATACCTACACTCTTGTATAGAGTCAGAAGCAAAAGCCTGTCTGACTTTCTTACTTTAAATCTAGGTCTCTAATTTCTCATTACACACCCACCCCATCCCCACACAAGAGTATCAATAGATGATTTAGTGTACATTTTAAACATATAGCAGAGATTGCACTTAGATTATCGTCTAGTCTGGCTCAGAGCTCTCTAAAGTTTCCCTCCTTGTAGAGGCTGCCTGTGCCCACAGAAATGCCTGTACAAAATTTGTGTTCTTGAGGTGGTCAGTCATGAATAGGTGCCTCCTTTCTGAATTCTAACTCTGTGCATAGACCCTTTGGTATGACATTTAATGGAATGCTCTGCTTAGATGTTCATTTCTGACTAGGACTTACTTGTTGTGAAAGGGGTCTCTTATTTGCCCATTCAGTAGTTGAACAGGGCGTGGCCTTACCTGATGCTGTTTCTGGCACAGGGCCCCAGGACTTCAGTCCCTGAACAACTTCCTGGACTCTTGCTGTTTTCAAGAGGGGAGTTTAAACAAATGTGAAGCTGAATGGAAACCTAGGAGCTCATTATTTATTAACAGAAAGTGTTATTTTTCTCATGTATGCATGACAACATAGTAATTACACATGGTTGATGTGGTTTTTGTAGTAATGAATAAGGCTTCCCGAAATCAACAGCTTGACATCAAAAGCAAGCTTGTTTAGGTAGTAGGAAGCAATGTGTAGCATTGAAGGAAGTACTGAATCAGCAGCAAGGAACTCTTTGTCCTGTTCAGTGATCTGGATCTGCCTCTAACTTCCTTTGATTCTGGGAGCAATTATTTCATTATCACAACCTTCTGTTAACTTGTTAAATAAAGCAACAATATTGAATATCACTAAAAAGCTTTATCTCTGGTTCCTAATTTACTTTCACTATCTACATGCATGACAATATGAAATTATTTGTAGTTTCATGCTCTATATATTTTCTCCTGTCTCCAATTAAAGTCAAAGGAGTTCTCCAAATAGTGTCTTCTACCCTGGAAGCTTTGGTCAGGTTCCAGACGGGTACATAAGACAGGAGAGCAGTATGTGACTTTGTCTGACAAGAACCTGGTTTCTACCAGCTTTGCTACTATGTAGTCATCTTGACTTAATTCCTTATGCAAACGCATTATTATGAGGGCTTCACATGGAAATTCAATGAAAAAGACCATAGAATTTGTATTGTACGGTAGCTAGAGAAAATGCTTTCACATGTGGTTTCCTTCTGGTTATCTAGGGAGAGACATTTTTTTCCTTCCATATAATATATTTTGTGTATTTGACATATTGAGATGCAACTATTTTACCTGACTGTAAAATCTCATAGTAAGTCATTACATAACGCAAACAAAATTGATGAGCTTGAGAAGTAGTTTATTTATTTGTTAGTTTGTTTATGGGTAATGGGGCTTGAACTCAGGTGCTGGGCTCTCTCCCTGAGCTTTATTGCTCAAGGCTAATGCTCTGCACTTTGAGCCACAATGCCACTTCTCCTTTTTCTAGGGGTTAATTGGAGACAAGAGTCTTGTGGACTTTCCTGCCTGGGCTGGCTTTGAACCGTGATCCTCAGATCTCAGCCCCTTAAGTAGCTAGGATTACTGGCATGAGCCACTGGCACCTGGCTAGGATTAATTTTAATCAGGCAAAGAATATTAGTTCTGGAGATCATTCTGTATTCTTTCTTGTATTTTAAATTTAATCATACAACCTTTTGGTTATCTCACTTGGCAAGTGGTGGACTTGAAATAGACAATCTTAACCTTTCTTCTCATACTGAACTCTCATTCTATATTTCACTGGGGAATTGTTAATGTGATAGTAGTATTTCTTTGTGCTGCTAATTCTAAGATTTTCATATTGACAATTTTAATTACACAATAAAATACTGTAAGGAAAGTAAGTAAGAATTACTGATACCAAGCAAAGCAGTGGGATGTCAGTTTATGAAACCAAGCGTGTTCCATGTAGTAGACTTTCGCTCATATAGAGCAGTCTCTTGAAAAACATCTGGTTTGCCTTTGATTTGGGATCCGAGGTGTGTTAGTGTTGTATGTATATGTCAGGTGCTTGAGCAGTTGCTTTTGCAAGAGTAAAGATTGTATACGAATGAAATTCTGTGTTCCAGGCCTGTTGGCCCATTCTGGCAACCTTAGCTGTTTGGGAGGTGGACACGGGACAACTGAAATCTGAGTCTAGCTAGGGCAAAAGTATGAGACTATCTAAAATGAAATAAATCTAAAGGCAAAGAGAGAAAGAGAGAGAGAGAGAGAGGTGAGAGAGAAGAGAAGGAAGAGAAGAAGGGAGGAAGGAAGGAAGGAAGGAAGGAAGGAAGGAAGGAAGAAGGAAGGAAGGAAGGAAGGAAGGAAGGAAGGAAGGAAGGAAGGAAGGAAGGAAGGAAGGAAGGAAGGAAAAGGAAAAATAAATTCTGTTTTTGAGTCTTACAGAGATACAAAGTGAACTTTCTTTTAAAATTACATGTATGTCAAGGTTACTGGATTTAGGAACTGCTGACAATTCATGTTTAAGACTTTTCTCTTTTTGGTCTATTTTCCCCCTTGCAGGATGTTTTCACCCCAGAATGCAAATTTAAGGAATCTGTGTTTGAGAACTACTACGTGATCTATTCTTCCACACTTTATCGCCAGCAAGAATCAGGCCGAGCATGGTTTCTGGGACTCAATAAAGAAGGTCAAATCATGAAGGGGAACAGAGTGAAGAAAACCAAGCCTTCATCACATTTTGTACCAAAACCTATTGAAGGTATGGAAGCTGCTTCTTTTCTTCTTGTCCTTTTGCATCTAAGGATTGTTTGAATGTAACAAATCTCAAGAAAGGCTTAGAGAGCACAATTTTACCATTTCCCATCAAAATAGAGAGAACAAAACAGAATAAACAAAAAGAATAATATAAATTCTCTTCTAACTAGTTGGTACTTACTAAACCCATGAACGTACAAACTACAACATTCCTGGAAGGAAAAAAAAAACACTATTAGTTCCCATTTAGAACACAATAATGTAATTTCCCAGGATATATCCTTGAAAAAACAAAAATGTTGTGGCAGTGCTTTAAAGTTTGCAAAAGACTTCTAGAAATACTTTTACATGCTAATCTTTAATCCCTGTGTCAGTTTTGGTAGTGTTTAGGAATGAAAATGGGAAGGGGAAACAAAGGAGGAGGCTACAATGCTTGATAAGAATTGTACTCATTATAATGCACATGTAATTGTAACCCCTCTGTACAGTATTTTCACAATAAAAAAAAAAGAAAATGGTGAACTCAGTTAACTTGACCATTTTCAGTTGAGCTGAAGATTTCTCTTCTACTGATTGTTTAAATAGTATTCACTTATATCAAATTGAAAAGTAGAATAAGTCCACTGCTGGCAACTATGTTTTTTTCTTTATTTGATAGGTCGATCTTTTTTTCATACTTTTTTTATTGTGAAAATACCGTACAGAGGGGTTACAATTAGATGAGCAAGGTAATGAGTACATTTCTTATCAAGCATTGTTGCCTCTTCCTTTGTTTCCCCTTCCCATCCCTTCAAATTTTATTATGAAGGTGATGTTTGAAGGGGTTAGAGTTAAGAGTCTGGCAAGGAGTACATTTCTTTTTGACAGTGTCACTCCCTCCCTCATTCTCCCCTAGCTTGTCCCCTCCCAACTTCTATCCCCCCAGGGTTGTATAGTTGATTTCCAACTTAGTGTCTAGTGAGTTTCACTGCTGAAGTAGTTCACCCTTTGTCTCAACCTTTCTGTGCTTCCCCTGCCCCTCCCCAAATCAGATAAACTTATACACAAGACAAAAGGTACAGAAATCAAAAACAGTGACAGAAGGGAATGCGTCACATTTTAAAAAAGGAAAGAAGAAAGTAAAGAAAATTAAAAAATAACTGCAAATAGTACATTGGCTTTTTATGTAATAGTAGGTATTGAGAGCAAAAGCTTCACACTTGCTAGGTAGGTATTCTATCACTTGAGCCACATGTTCGATGCTTTTTTATATTAGCTATTTTCAAAATAGAGTCTTATTCTTTATGACCAGTTTGTCCTGGACTGCAATCCTCACACTTGTGTCTCTTCTTTCAGTGATTCCTCAGTAGCTAGGATGACAGGTGTACACTACTGCACGCAGCCATTGGTTGAGCAAGACTTGAAAATGTCTTTTATTCATGAGTTGGCCTTGAACCATGATCCCCAATCTCCATCTCCCAAGTAACATAGATTATGGGGTTGAGCTACCACCATCGCCAAGGACAACGATATTTTTCTCTCAGAAATTCCTCAACTAGGATGCTGGTTGACCATATTTACTGGTTTCAGTCCAGTGCTCTGATAATTTCTCATACATTTATCAGCATAGAATTCTGAAAGTCCTGTTGTATTTACTAATAACACGAGCTCCACCTCCTTGTCTGATGAAAACATTAAAACAGCTCCTTAATTTAGTCCTGCTTCCTTTTCTCCTGCGGCAGGGGCTGTGGTCAATGAACACAATGTCTGCCCCATTGAACATAGTATGCATAGACTACAGGGGTCAGCCAACATCTCAGCCAAAGCTATTGGTCAAAGCATTATCTGGAATGTGATAGAGCTTTTGTTCATAAAATAACAATTCATTACTGAAACTCCCTCCTCATGAGCTGTACACAGATAGTATTTTCTTTTTAAAAAAATATTTATTGCTGTTGTATGGGTGATATACAGAGGGGTTACAGTTATGTAAGTCAGATAATGAGTACATTACTGTTGAACCCCAAAGCTTGGCTTGTTCTCAGGAAATAATTTCTTCCCTTTAGTTTCTTTATATTGTAATAAAAATATGCTTAAATAAAAGATTTCAATATAGTTCTAAATAAATTGTCAAAAGAGAAAAAAACAAAAAAACCTCCCCTTGTGTCTTTGGCCAAACAAAATTGAACTTTTACTCCTAGGGGCCTAATGATGAATATGTCACCTCCCCAATTTCTGTTCTCTCATTTTCTGTCTGAAAAGTGCTGATACACCTTGGAAAGGATTAATTCAAGGAGATTGGGAATATAGAGCAGTGGTAGAGTACTTGCCTAAAATGTACCAACACTGGGTTTGATGTCCAATACCTAAAACAATAATAATAACTGCAACCAAAATAAGAGTCATTTCTTGGTCTGACACTGGTGGCTTACACCTGTAATCCTAGCTACTCAGGAGGCTGAAGTCTGAGTATTATGATTTGAAGCTAGCCCGAGGAAAAAAAGTCTGTGAGATTCTCACCTCTTACCACCCAAGAGCCAAAAGTAGATGCATGACTCAAGTGGTAGAGTGCCAATTTTGAGAAAAATAGATAAGCCAGAGTACAGAAGCCCTGCACTGAAGCCCTAGTATCAGCACAAATAAAAAGTCACTGCTACTTTGTGGGACTTGAACTCAGGGCCTGGGCACTGTCTTTGAGCTTCTTCACTCAAGGCTAAGAGAGCTCTACCACTTGAGTCACAGCTCTACTTCTGGCTTTTTTGGTTGTTAATTGGAGATAAGGGCCTCAGTGACTTTCCTACCTGGGCTGGCTTTGAACTGTAGTCCTCAGATCTCAACCTCCTGAGTAATTAGTCTTACAGGCATGAGCCATCAATTCCTAGCTTCTCTGACATCCATCAAGAAACAAAAAGCATTGCTTCCATATCTGCATTCACATTAAATATATTTATTGTCCTTCTGTCTCCCCTTATTTATGGTTAGTTCCCTGTAATTGAACAAACATGTTTTTTTTTCTTGTATCTCCCTGTTTCTTGTACAATATGCAGCCTATGAAAGAGATGGAAATTTACTTATTAGATGTCAGTTGAAGAAGTGTACATGTGAAGGAACAATTGAATAGATAAGTAACGAGAACTTTAGGATATTTGCAGAGATATTATACTTTGAGACAGCAATAGTATAGACAAATTATACCAATGGCAATTGTATGTTAGCAATACTAAAGGGAAAGCAGCAATCATCTAGTAGAAAAGTGCTATATTTCATGCTGCATGAATTGATATTTGAAATTAGAGAGAGAACTGACACTCCTACAAAAAGGAAGATTCATTGAGAAGCTGGTATTTAAACATGCCTTTTGGGGTAGGCTAGGTTCAGATCAGTCAAGATAAGTAGGATTACCTAGACATAAACATGTCAAGAATACTGCAAGTAAAGCCAGAAAATTGGCTGCTTAGCAGGGTGCCTAAGAAGCAGATGATATTTCTGTGAAAACGATATTGATCCTCAAGAAGGTTTTTGACATATTTTGCTTACACCTCATGCATTGGTTTTATTTGCTCACTTAGGTTGATATTTTGTTCTTATAGAAATATAGTACAAGTTTATTAACAGTTTTGGGAGAATTTAGGAAAGCATAAAGGATAAGAAGCTACTTGTTTAATTCATTCTTCATATGGATAATTCACTGATACAGAGCCCTTCCACTGAAAAGAAAGCACCTGTAACTTACCCTAATCATAGTTGCTATCTACACTTAAGTTAGTGAAGTTTCTTCTTGGTTTTAGATGATAAATACATTGACCTAACTTGCTAGTTTCTTAGTAGCTTATATGTTGTGTTTGTTGCTTTCTTTCAGTGAGAATATAGAATGGGAGCACTAGACATATAAGTTAGAAGTTTTGGGCTCACCCAACCCAAAACTATGTCCAGTAGTTTAGTCACACCTGTCCCCTCAAAAACTAAATCTAGAGGTGAGCCATTCAGGAATAGTCCTGTGATTTCCCAACTCCAGGGATCTTGGCTGTAACTAGCTTTCCATACCTGTCTTCATAGTGTGTTTGTATGATTTATTAGATCCATGCCCTGCACTGTTACTACAACAATGCACATGGCCCTGGATATTCCCTTGGATGATGCTATCTCACCAACATTCTTCTTATAATCAGAGGAGAAATGAAGGAGGTACAGAGATCTGTGTGAATTTTCTTTCATGATGCTTCCCTATAGCTGCCATATGATGCTTACACACACTGGACAAAATTGAGATAGAGATTCATGTTTAGTTGCATATAGCTTTTATTCATTTTTTAAATAAGTTTTTATTGTAAAAATACTGTACAGAGTGGTTACAGATACACGAGCAAGGTAATGAGTACGTTTCCTATCAAGTATTGTTGTCTCCTTCTTTGTTTTTCCCCTACCATTCCTTCCCTCCCATCTCCACAACTACATTTCCCCCCCCCCAAATTGTAAAGTTTGTTTTTCAACATAGTGTCTTATACATCTCAGTGTTGCAATGGGTCAACCTGTATCCCTATTTAAACGTTTTGTTTTTCCCCTTCCCCTCCCCAAATTATACCAACATCAAATACAGTGAAAACAGGGGTTATACCATAGGGGAAGAACATACAAAGCAACAAAAAAAATCACATGGCACATTATAAATACATTAGAAACAATAGCAAGAAAGAAAAAACCACTTGTAATTTTATTCTTGATGGTCACATAAAAATTCATATTCATATTTTAAGAGATAATGGTGGAGCCGGGCGCCAGTGGCTCACACCTGTAATCGTAGCTACTCAGGAGGCTGAGTTCTTAGGATCACGGTTCAAAGCCAGCCCAGGCTGGAAACTCCGTGAGACTCTTATCTCCAATAAACCACTAGAAAACTGGAAGTAGTGCTGTGGCTCAAGCGGTAGAGCGCTCACCTTGAGCTGAAGAGCTGAGGGAAAGCGCCCAGAATAAGAGTTCAAGCCCCATAACTGACCAGAAAAAAAAAAAGAGAGAGAGAGAGAGAAT